CAATCTATATGTTTCTTACTCGACAAAAGTGAATATACACTTAAATAGGAGATTTAAGTACACTCCTGATTCTGAAAATTGTAAGATATGTATAAAAACACATAAGCATGTGCTTAACAACGTCACTTTGTTTATGTAGAAAATTGCATAACGTTACTTTATCTGAAATGGTTTTATAGATAATTTGACGAAAGTTATTTACTTGTAGTTAAAATATTCACGTGGAATATTATTATAATAGCAGAAATCAAAATCATTTTTAAAGCAGCTATGACATAACTATGATGTATGATATATTTTGCTAAGATTTATATTTGTTTATATTTACCTTGCCTGGTTCTTGCTTGAAGGCAACAACATCAGCTCAAAAAAAAAAATAACGAAATGATTCGACAGCTTACATACTAAAACATCTTATTACATGTCGTATGCAATTCAGTTAAATGCCATTTCACAGATGATCAATTATAACTGCTTTCTAAACACGGATGCATATTTGTATAAAAGAAATTACATTAAATAAAGAACCATGCTTCAGACAAAACAAATGACAAGACAGATAGGATTGTAGCGTGTTTAAGAAACAACAATTCAAGATCTCTTTTGAATGGCACAGTAAAAGAAATACATATAATGATACCTGGCACAAAATTAAAATATGATACTAAAAATAACATACCCATGATACCCGAAGAAATTAATAGAGGAACTGCCAAATATACCATCTTCTATATTGTTTGCTGGTCTTCGCTTATAACAGTAAAACAGTAAAATTTTCTTTAAGCATATACATTACCTGTTTTAACAAGTTCTAGAACACCTGATCGTTGTTTTGTTTGAATGTTTAAAGGCACATTCTCTTCAACAAACTAATGTGTAGTAATGATTCATATTGGTGAAAAATTACCGATTGGGATTTTTAAACATGTTTAAAATTCTCGATCGGTGAAAATATTTTACAAATAACCGACAGCAACCTATATCACGAGATATGCAAGCTCTTAATCACCGATATCGCCGATTGGACAAAGATAACCAAATATCGTCAACTCTCCCTTATCTTTCTCTCGCCGAAAATAATTTAAAAACGTTTTCTATAATTTGTCGGGGCTAAAAAATGTTTCAACATGTCTGAATAGTATTCAAGTAAAGACAATAACGAAACTTTTGTTAAGTTATATACATGTATATATGAAATATTTTATGCACTGGTTATTCGCGTTCTTTGATTTGACTTGTATTAAGCTGCGTCATTTTGTCCTTGTTTTATTACGGTTATATATTCATATGCGTACATTGTCAAAATGATATTAATGTGTTTTACCTTGAATCTGGAATAAAAAAAAATCCACGAGGTTTCGAACCCACAAGTAATTTCATTTGCAGAGGTGGCTCACCTTACTACGCTATTGAGTCGAAGTTATATTGTCTTCATATACATGTACTATCTCGATATCTTTAATGGATCTACTTTGGTTAATCATCAGTAGTTTACCTATGTTTATTTTTTCATGGACTGTGCTTCTATTTTTAGACATTACGAAAGTTCCGTTTATCGTGCTCAGACTATAGGTATTTTAGTTGTTTTTTCATCAAATAATTTTATGTCATATACAGAATTTTATCATGTCATTACATTGATTTCTGTTGATAAAGTGCATGCCTGATAAACCTAGCTTTATCAGTCACCCCAAGCTTTATCAGACACCTCATCAAAAATATGCAAAATTTGCGAAATGAAATAAAAAGAATGGAATATATTTTCCTGCTACTGGGTTGGAAATATTTAAGTTATAAACTTTGAATCGAATAGAAATTTTGAATATGAACGCGTCACTTACAATTAACTAAAACATTCGGGACTATTTCTTTTTGATTTGGCATTTCACATATTATTGCGCGCCGTCTGAACACGAGAGGTTCTGGATAGGGTTTTGCTTCAATTAAAATAAAAAAATTCAAACAACAATTGAAATTGAAAACATGATAAATAGAATACCAAACAAGTGTCTAATATTATAAAATTTATCAGGCTCGGCACGAAAAAAAAAGGAGAGCTCGGCACAGCCTCGCCCTTCTTTTTTTTTCTTAGCCTTGCCTGATAAATTTAATAATATCAGACACTAGCATGGTATTCTCTATATCCAAATTGTTTACATTTTGCAATTGTTTATATATCACTCACACTAGTTTCTAGGAGACACGGTTCAATCAATAGACGCGTATAATTTTTTGTAAGAATCAGTATCACGAAACGTTTAATCATTTTAGCCAATCTTACTGACTGTAGAGATAATGTATCACTAGTATAAATATAACCAAACAGTTTCTCATTTTCTCGCGGAGCGTGCTCGTTGCTGAGAAGGCACAGGGCATCGACAGAAGATTTGATGACTTGGGATGGCGCAAAAAGTTCAGAATGTGTACTGCGGATTATTTGCTTGCGTCCTGCGAAATGTCGAGGAGAGTGGCTCTGCAAAGTAGGCAAAGACTTATTTAGTGCTACCCTTTCATTATTTTCTCAGGTTTATGTACATTTAGGTTCTCATTGACCGCCGTAAAGTGACTTACCTTTGGCTCAAAATTCATATTTTGACTACAACCTCGTGGAAAATGCATGGAGGTAAATTTTCATCACTTCGTTTTTCAAAATTAACTGTTTAAGGGCATGACTGGTGACATGTCCGGCTCCATACATGATAGGGAAAGCTGCATTTGTGCCTTTCAGGGGCGGATTTGCCCTTATTGAGCAAAGACTACATGCAAACATGAAAAAGTTCAGTCTGGTCCTTCCGTTGATGACGCTGAAACGAAGTCGTAAATACTAACTGGTACACAGATCTTTTGACTTTTGTAAAAAACTGTGGTAAAAAAAATAAATGTTTGAAGTTTAATTTGGTTTGGCTCCGTACGGTTAATATCGAAGTGGTAATTATATTAAATAGTACACTGAAATCTCAGACATCTGTTGCTTATATCTTTGGAGTTTCAAGAAATATTTTGAGAGTTGAAAAGTTAATCTGCATGTTGTCCTTGTAAGAGATGGATATAGGGGATAACGCATTTCATAGTATATAGCAATCTTAGATATCTGGTGCTAAAATACTTCGTTGCTTCAGTAAAACCTCTCGGACAAATATTTGATAGGGAACAGTTTATTTCAAAACAATTATTTTAAGGATTTATCTTTTAATGTTTATTTGAGATACGATATTGTTAATATGAAATATTAAAGTAAGAAATAAAAATATAAGTTTGAGTTTGAAAGAAATTGTGGAATGTATTTAGTTGTTACTTGAAATATATATCGTATATATTTTTGATAATTTAAGTTTTAGTTTGTGATTGTTATTTTGTATGTTATTATTTATCTTTTTTAAGTTGATATCTAACAAAAAGGTTAAAAATAAACCGAAGAAAATAAATCTATTTGAATATTAAAAATAAGTACAGAAAAATTATATATGTACATGAAATTTTGATAATCCCAATGTTTTATTTTGTAGCAAATATAATTAAAATGAATCGTGGTGAACTGTATTTTTGTGTTGTGTTATTTAGCGTGCTTGGTTTAGAGGTTTTGTCGTATACGATCATTATGTAAAGTAAATGTCACTATTGTCTTTCATATTAAAGTGCTCAAACTTTACACGATTTACCAATACCGCTAAGTTTCAAAACACGAATAGCCATTTAATTACCGGGGCTAATCAGAATATTTGATAGTAGATATGATAAACAAGATCAATAAGGTAAGGCGGCGTTCAATGAACTCAACCCGCATACTTGTCAAACACATTCAAAAAATTTTTTTGGAATGTTAAGTATACCGGTGTTTCATATTTTTGTGGTATTTTTACATCACAGACAACAAAAGTAAGGAAAAATAACATCGGAAAAAAAAGTTGATTATTGTAACAATAACATGCCAATTACATCATAGTTTAGTCCATTTGATGTTTGCATGCTAGCAATTATGTACACAATATGGCAATACATACCTTTTTTGCTGTCTTTACAGTACAATTGTGTTCGCATATTTCTAAGGCAACAGTTCCAAAAGTAAACTTTATCTTTTAGTACATCTATACCTAGCCCCATCTGAAAATGGGTATTTATGTTAATGTTTGTTTAGCAAAGAGGTATGCAAACTAATAGTAAAATGGTGAACTAATTTATTTACTTTGCTCTTAATCTGAATTAAATATTAAGTCTTCTCAGTCGTAAATGTAGCATTTAAACAAAAATGCAATAAAAAGGTAAAAGTAAAACTACTGACAGGTGCATGAGGTCTCGGAGGAACCTCGTACTGTTTATGCCTTTTACCTTTGCATTATTGGTACCAAGGACAAGGAAATATGAGGCACCAGAATACCCCTTTTTATAGATAGGAGAAGTTGTCAATCTCACATTGAACGCGTTTCATTCGTAAAACTGATTATCACAATTTGTATCTATGTTTTCCTGACGTATATCAATTAAGTTGTTTTCTATTATTTCTTTTTTAAAATAGACATAATTATCTGAAGTTTTAATTCAAAAAATAATTTAAGACTTGGAAAATGATAAATTGATATAAAGATATATACCTTGAAATGTTCGACTATTGAATTCAAAGAAGAAGCAAATTAATATGGATATGTTTACAACCACGTACTCTTAATTACATTTACTCAAGAAATATTTATGGTGTTTCTGATAAACAATGATTAAAGATCAAAATTGTAGGAAGGACAGAAAGACAACTTTGACTGCAGCAATGCATTATTAGGATGGAGAATGGTCTGGAAAGTCATGGTTAAAATAAAATTGCAGTAAAGTCAAACATAGATTTTGACCATACAGTAAGAACCAACAGAATGAGATATACTGCACAACAATTGTATAACCGTTACGGTTTATTTTCGTGTCTATATTGTGTTTATTTACTTTATCTTCTTATATTTTTATTATATTCTTTTTATCGTAGGTTTTGTCGATTATCATTGTTGATATTTTGTTTCATTTGTTGATTTCATTTGTAATTGATGATAGCACTTCTTTTATTACAGATCAAGCACGTATAACAGTTTACATAAGGAGTGATTTTTCTCGCAATAAGAAGGAGGCTTATTCACTTTTGTGAGAATAAACGATTTATTATCAGTCTCATTACAAATTTCAAGGAACTAATATTATTTTAAACACCAGAATTTATTGCATCTAAGATAATGTCAAAATTTGCCTTATCAGGATCAGTTATATAGCGAAAATAATATGCTATGATAGCGTCATTTGGAACACGCCCATTGATAGGCTTCATCGAGTAGAAAACCTGCTTATTTTGTTGGATATTAGTATGCTTCTCAGCAGCAAAGTTCAAAAGGAATTCTTCTTCTGAAAGGAATGTGTCTCCATTTAAGTCTATCACTTCGCACCATACTGATAAAAACGCACGCACCATCTCATTAAATGCAGTCGTGTTGGATTCATATCTTTGTTTTATCATGGATACAAAGTCTTTTTTAGAGAGTTCTTTCTTGTTTGTGAAGAAAAAGTCCTTCCACAGTCTATCCATTTTTTTCATAATCGTCTTCAATTGTGTATCGCTCAGATCTTCACGAGCTTTATAACGTTCCCTGTAAGAAACAAATGAGAACAATAATGAACTTCGACATTACCGTGCCACAATTTAGATAACTAGCAGGGTACCGAGCAATTGTTAATATTTTGTTTGAGACAATAAGGTGGTTGAATATGTTCAAACAAATAAAAACAAATGAGAAAACAACTACAACCTAATCCTGATACATACTTAGACACCAAGCAGGGAACCGAGCCAAACATGTATGTATAATTAAAACTCAACTACTAGTTATTTACTATGTTTTGCAACTGTTTATTTGTTTTATAAGAATTATTGTTTATATTTTGTTTGAGAAAATAAAGTGGTTAGATACGTACAGATCACTTCGGAAGCAGAGATGGGACATTCCAATTATTCTTTCTGTCCTTTTACGTGGACAAGAAATATAACTCAGAAAAAACAAATAAGCAAATAAAATACAGAATCCTATTTCTCGGCCACGAGATAAAAAAAAATAAGCGAAACACTTTTTTTGCTATCTCGTTCCCACGAGATACAACTAAGAAAAACAAGAGGCAAAATAGTCCTCGTGGTCACAGAATATAACTCGCACAAAAGACAAAATCGCTATCTCGTTCCGACGTGATATAACTCCGAAAAAAATACAAAAAATAAAAAAAATTATCTCTCGTCCACACGAGTTAGTCGGCCAATCAGCTTTTATTCTATCGCGAGACCATGCAATGTTTCAATAGGTCGCCATCTTGACAAGTATGTATTCTTGCGCCGAAATCTATGATTTGTTAGTGTCATTTATTTCAATCTATTAATCTATGATTTATTGTTCTACTAACTCGTTACCGAAACTAAGATGTTTTCATCTAATTCGCCGGCTAACTCGTGGCCACAAGGATAACACTTTTTTCCCTTAATTACATCTCATGACAACGAGATAGCATTATTTTTAGTTATATCTCGTTGCCAATAGATAGCACTTTGTTTTGGGTTTTTTCTGAGTTATATTTCGTGAGAACAAGATATAATTTTTCTTAGTTGTATCTCGTTAGAACAACATAGCATATTGTTCTCGTTTCTCCTGTGTATATTTCGTTTTTGTTATATAACGATATGTCATTTTTGTTTAAGTTATAATATATCGTAGCCACACGATAGGAAAAGACAAAACAGATCGAAATTCCCCCCTATGTGCTTTCGTAGATCTCTAATTATTTAGTAAAATGAGTATTTGCTAACTTATATTCAGATAAATCAATGTGATATTAACATAAAGTAAATAGAAATTCGTATGTAACCATTACTTCAATATTTTGTATAAATCTAAGAGAAACCGAGTCTGTCTCTTATATTTATTCGGCTTTGTTATGAGACTATGAACGCTAGAACAATTTATTGATGTTGCATAGTTACTCAAATATTCTAGGATCTGCCATTGAAAGTATTCCATCGTGATTGTAATCATCAAAATCAAACCATTTTTTTCCACTTTTCAGTAAGGTAATCGTTCGCCTGGAAAAAAAATTGACAGCGCATTATATTCATTTTTTAACCATAAGTAACAAATTTGACATCGAATTCAATATCAAAGGATTCAAGTTCGTCCCACCTTTTTTGCCAACATAACCTGTCATTTTACCTATTATGAAACGATTATTTCACTGTTATATTGAGGGTTTAGCCCTTGCAACAATACAAAGGTCAAAATGTGACATTGAGGTTTTACTAGTTTGGTAAGACCTCATATGTACTCGCAGGCACCTGAACCGCCAAATTTCCTCACACTCTTTGTAGTTTCCTTAAGTGAAGGAAAACGGCCCTGGCGGGAATAATATCAAATACCTGACCGGAATAATATCAAATAAGGGGAAGGGTATGTGTTCCGAGTCAGCATGTGTTTTTATACAAATATGAACTATCCAAACTGCACTGTTTAACATACTTTGCACCTATTTGATAAAAGAAGTACCATCTCATTGCTTTATCAGGTCAATATTTTAGTGTAACAATATTGTTTAAATACCAGTGTATAAATTAGTCCTTTTTAATAGCTGTGATATATATTTGTATCTATTTACCTTGTTTGATTCTTGCTTGACAGCACCAACGCAAGCTTTAAAAATAAATATCGAATTAAAGTGTATTCACTAAATTAACATACGGAAGAATATTATTACTACATAGTTCTATTTCATACGTCATAATTAATTGCAGTTCAACTTCCCAATCTATTTTTGATGATTTAACTAAGACGGATGGGATATTAAACCATTCTGAAAAACTACAGTACTTTTTTATACTGACTGTTTCTCATGCATATTTTCCAATATATTCCTGACAGACTCCATCCTGAAATAATGTATATCACACAACAATGATACCATTTTTTTCTGCTTTGTACAATACATTGGTTGAATCTGATAGTTTTTAGCATTGACAGAATAATCCTTTATGTTATAACCCGAACATTTTTTTTTCGAAAATATGCTGCGAAAAGACTATGAACATGTCTCTAAAACAGAACATAAAAACAATAATTATGCTGAATTAAAGTAAAAATTGTGAGTATACCTAAACGCTGAAAGCCGATGAAGCATCGTTATAACGTGATAAGTTTCAATACAGAGAAAGAAAGTTAAGAATGATGATAAAGTCAAAATAAGTTAAAAAATCATGAATATGTCCACTATAAGGAGAGCAAATAAATAAACGAAAGGTTATCGTTAATACATGATTAAAATCAGAAATATTCAAAATCCCTTCGCAATTGAATGAAACAGATAATTTTAAGCACTTAACTGAACGTTAACTAGTTATTACCACAATAACTTACCATTGAAACTCAAAACAATAAACAATGTAAACATCCAATACATCTTCTGTATGATTCGTTGGTCTTTTTTAATTCTTGTAATAAAGTATTGTTCCCCGCTTTATATACTGACACAACAAGTACAATTGTTTTTGTTATGTTTAAAGACCAGTTATGTTTGTCAGTATTAGAAAATAACATATTCAATTCACAAGGTAAAGTGATAATAATATTGGCTTGGTATTGGTCATTTCAATCTGTAATGTAGTTGTTTCTTATTCTGTTGTGTTCATATTAATTTTAAAAACAGTATATTTGATAGGTTTTGAAATTGCAAGATGTAATATGTCGACATGCACTTTGGAAAAGAGACCATTGAAAAATAATCTTTATTGTTCATGTGTGATTTATATTGAACTTTGGAAAGATATTCTATGTTTTGTTGTTATATGTTTCTGGTCCTTCGGAATCAGTGATTCCAGCACTTTTAAGTGTTAACAATTGAGTACCGCTCTGAAACTAACGCTTAAGCCGATGCTAAGGGACATGCTAGATGTTACGCTTTTTTATTAGCCCTCATGTACAGACTCAATTAAACCGAGTCTGCAATTTTTATATTTCAGAGGGATTACTATTATGCAGATACTAATATATCAAAAGGTATTTAATACGTGATGTTTGCTGCAATATAAAGCGGAAATAATAGCTATTTTACGGAAATAGATAATGTGATAATGTATACTTTGATATCTCGTTTTATTACCTCTCACTTTTTTCATAATGTTAATTTCCCATAGGCCTCTGGGAGTTATTCTTACTGTTAATGCAAGTGTACCATGTGACTAAGAATTTTTTACTGTTACATAGGTAACAGTATTTTTTAAAAGTATAAAATCTGGTCACGTGGTCTATTTTAACAAAAAATGAAATAAAATGGCCGCCATTTTTATCTCGATTCATTCTTATTTTCGATGATAGGGCCTATGGCATCACCAAAGTAACTATGACTCTAATAATATTTAGTTCTTTGCACCCTAGAGTTTTTTTTTCGTGTATAAAATATCTTTTTATTGAATAGTCAAAAAGTAAACATCTGTTTTCAACGGAAGTTATTGTAATGTGAATAATTTTGTGTCAAACTGGAACATACAGACGATTAAAGCATGCAACAAAGGATTATTTAACAATTTTAACCTGTGAAACGTTACGGACAGACATCTGTAGGATATCATCGTTGATTTGTAAATGCACTAAATGTAAAAAAAACATGCGAAGAAATTCTGGATACAGAAGGATCAGATTTCACAGATCATAACCTTATAAATGGGTTAGTGTTTTATTTTCTGAATAAAACACAGCTTATTTTATGTTTATGACTGGTAGATATCATCACTTGCTTAAAGAATAAAAGAAAAACAGCTTCTCAAGTACAGTAGGCCTACAGCTTGCAAGGTAAGGACAGTTTAGTTATTGCTACTCTTGGTTTATTTTTGTTACAGTTAGATTTAGTTGACAATTTTGTTTAAAAATTCAGATCATCACAGTATTTGTTCGGGGTAATAAAATAAATAACACATTAGATTGTGGTTAACAGTAAAAATATCATCCCTCGTAATAATACTGTTACCCTCGGCTACGCCTCGGGTAACAGTATTTTCCTCGGGATGATATCATTACTGTTACCCACAAACCCATGTGTTATTTATATACTATTGCTTTCAAAATATCATAATTGCCTTGTTTGTGGCGATATGTCAAGTTTTATTGCACATGCGGCGTTCAGCCTAAACAAAGAAACATATTTACTTCATTCACATTTGAAATTCAGTTTTATTGGTATTTCAATTATACAATATTTTGTGATTAAAATTTGTTTTGTCGCAATGTATTTCTTGTGTAAATGAAACAGATGGAAATTGAATAATTTGATGAGATCAACGTTTATGGTATAATTTGTAAATGCAACATTCTATGCAGCAATGTCAACTTTTTCATGTTACAGTACAAACTTGATTACTTATAGATTGATTACATGTTTTTTAATGACGCAATGTATCTAAAAATAATAACAATGCACGACTATTGAATTTAAAAAGTAATAAATTATTATTGAAATGTTCACAACAAAGCACGCTACTTTTTTACTCCAGATAAGGACAGTGTCTGAAAAAAAAATTAAACGCCAAGATTGTAGAAAGGAAAGAAAAAAACTGTGACTGCAGCAAGGCTTTATCACGATGGAAAAAATGGTATGTAAAGTCATGGTTAAAGTCAAACATATATATTGACCACAGTAAGATTCAAAGCAGTGAGGTATACTGGGAATATTTGAATGAGTGTGCATTTATGTTTATTCATTGTGTTTATTTTCTTTTGATATTTTATTTATATTATTTTCTTTTTATCTTTGTTTATTTTTATTGATGTTTTTGTTGCCATTTGCTATTTTTATTTGTAAATTATGTTAGCACTTCTTTTTTTATTACAAGTCGGCGCTTTATAACAGCCTAAAATAGAAATGTTTTTTTTATGATATTTTTCGCGCAATATTAAAGACGCTCATATACTGGTGTGAGAATAAACGATTTATTATCACTTTTTCAAATCAGTCTCATCGAATATTTCAAGCAACTAAATATATTTCAAACACCAGAATTTATTGCATCTACAATTATGTCCTGTTTTGACATATCCGGCTCAGTTGCAAAGCGAAAATAAAATGCTATGATATCGACATTTGGAACACGCCCATTAATAGGTTTCATCGTGTAGAAAAGCTGCTTATTTTGTGGGATATTAGTATGCTTCTCAGCAGCAAAGTTCAAAAGGAATTCTTCTTCTGAAAGGAATGTGTCTCCATTTAAGTCTATTACTTCGCACCAATCCGATAAAAACGCACGCACCATCACATTAAATGCAGTCGTGTTGGATTCATATCTTTGTTTCATCATCTTTATAAAGTCATCTTTGGACATTTCTGTCCTGTTTGTGAAGAAAAATGCGTTCCATAGTCTATCCATTTTGTCAATAATCGTCTTCAATTGCTTATCGCTCAGATCTTCACGAGCTTTATAACGTTCCCTGGAAGAAACAAAATTTAGAAAAAATAATTTAAATTGGACATTTCCGTGCCACACATTTTGGGGGAAAAGGAAGGGGACCCAGCAAAAATTGGTTTTTAATTTTTTTGTTTTTAGACAATAAAAGGGGGTTTTAATAATTTTAGGGTCCCTTTTAAATTAAAATTTGTGTAGAAAAAAATAAATGTGATTCTTTAAATAAATTTAAAAGGGAAAAAAGGAAAGTTTTTCAATATTTATATTTTTAAACAATTATTAAAGAGACCGGGTACTTGTTTCTTTTTAAAATGCTTTCCCCCGTTATTAGGCCTTATGAAACGCCTTTAAAAAATTTAAAATAAAGCCCATAAATTACCAAATATCTTAGGATCTTCCCCTTGAAAGGGATTCCATCGGGGATTGAAAATCATCACAATCAAAAACCCCTTTCCCCACTTTTTCAGTAAGGAATGTTTTGCCCGAAGATTAAAAAATTTTTTTTGACAAACCCCATAAATTTAAAATTTTTTTAAACTTTTTGTAACAAACTTGACATCGAATTTAAATTTAAAAGGGATTAAAAGGGTTTTAAAGGGCCCGGGTTTTCCCTTATTTTTCCTGTTTTTTTTTTCATTAAGAAACAATTTTGTACTGTTTTTTC